AAGAATGAGGTGGTTAGACACTAGCGGTAGCTGCAACAACTACAATCCGATAAGTGCAAGAGAGTGCAAAGAATGAGTTGGTTAGACACTAGCGGTAGCTGTAACAACTACAATTAGATAAGTGCAAGAGAGTACAAAGAATGATCTGATGTGGATGCAGACTGGATTGTAAATACCATCAACATATCCAGTGGTGTAGTTGATAACTGCATATAATGTAGACTGAGACGTTGGTGCAGCGTGACCGCATTTAAGAATATTGTACCTAGACTTGTGTTCTGCCAATGCTGAAATGTGCGGCCAGCAAACTAAACAACAGAACTATGAAAAAATATCGGAGCTCAGTCACATTCTCAGAAATATCCAGGGACAATTAATGAGAACAAAGGATGTAGGAATAACGTGACTATACGTACATTTCAGTCTTCGCTACAACTTAAATACTCTTGATAATAACGTCCAGTGAACATAATACACTGTGTACCCTCACCGAATCAAATTTACTAAGATCTAACCAGTTTTCTATTCCGAAGGACCGTGTTGTGGGAAACAAGTGATAAGAGCAATAAGTCAATTCAAACAACTAAATTAGTCAACTAGGCCTGTTCAAAACATATTTTAGTGACCAAGGGGAACTAAATCATAATTAAACAAGATACATACAAAAACGAATGAGTTACTACCCTTTAACTTGTGAGTCTAATAAAGAACAAAGTCGGTGTCTCTACCTTAGGCTTTGCTCAGTTCGTAATGCCAGAGTCCCAAGCTCCATCCCAGTTGCAGGAGATTTGGCAGCACACAACCTTGTGTTGGTTTTAATATTTGTATCGAGAGCCAACCATTCACAAGCAATGGCAAACTCATCATCATCATGTAGCAGGTCCTTTGCAGAATGTCGCTCTCATCACAGTCTGCCTGAAAGAAACTCGGTCTCTCGCCAGTTCTGCGCCTCATGAACTTTCACGCTCAAGGAGTCACTTATATCCTGTGCCCATCTTCGTGTCGGTCGGCCTCTGCCCCTCCTTCCTGGTACCATGCCTTCTGCTATAATTTTTTCCAATCCGTCGTGGCGCTTGATATGATCAAAATATTTCAGCTTTCGAGAAAGGATGCTGTTTATTAGCAAACTAATAATAATGGCAAACTAGTGATCGTAAATTTGCCTAGAAAAACCACATCAGCCAAAAATAATGGGGTTGGTCTTACAGCGTCCTGTGAGGACACCCAGCTAACAATAAGGAAATTTTTATTCAACGCCATTTGAGCATTGGGCTTACGGTGCTAACAAAAACTGTCACACAGAATTTCATATTCGAATGCTGATGAAACCAGCACCACAGTGGTAGCGTTATTCCTGGAACGTTCCCTTGTATGCTGGGTCGACCTTGGGACCAATGTCAGTTTTATAAAAGTCCACCTGCATGAGGATCCTAACCTAAGAACTTCAAGCCGGCATGCAATGGTCCAGTGACTGCACCAGCGCGTCCTCCGCTTCTTGATTAAATGACTCACAACTGCGACAAAGACATCACAGAGCCAGGTGTTTGTAGGTTTTACTTCCAATCGATGGGGATTTGTAAAATTGATCTAGACTTAGACTGAATGAGCATCATAAAGTATACTAAGACGCAGCTGTAATTTGAAAAAGGCTCTCAGGTCGCCTATGAAGTAATGGCTGACAGTGTGATGCTACCATATCACCACCGAGAGGCAATTAGTGTTGCCGCTACACGACGGCGGGAAGCTACCATATCACCACCAAGAGACAATTAGTGTTGCCGCTACACGACGGCGGGAAGCTACCATATCACCACCGAGAGGCAATTAGTGTTGCCGCTACACGACGGCGGGAAGCTACCATATCACCACCGAGAGGCAATTAGTGTTGCCGCTACACGACGGCGGGAAGCTACCATATCACCACCGAGAGGCAAATATTGTTTACGCTACACGACGGCGGGATGCTACCATATCACCACCAAGAGACAATTAGTGTTGCCGCTACACGACGGCGGGAAGCTACCATATCACCACCGAGAGGCAAATATTGTTTACGCTACACGACGACGGGATGCTACCATATCACCACCAAGAGACAATTAGTGCTGGCGCTACACGTCGGTGGGGTGCTACCATATCATCACCGAGAGGCAATTAGTAGTGCCGCTACACAAAGGCGGGATGCTACATTATCACCACCGAGGGCCGATTCGTCTAGCCGCTGCATGGCGGCTGCCCTGTAGTAAATTTTATAATTATGTGTGTATATTAAAAAAGCGATTTGTCGTCACACTACAAAAAGTTCTGGGAAAAATATATATTTATATTAAAGATAGCAATAACAGATTATGTATATGTCAGGCTAGAGAATGAACAAATAAAGTAACTGACCTTTTCACCTATTTGCATAGCAATTTTTACTCTCAATGAGATACAAGAAAGAAATTCATGACACGAATTGGCAAAGCAACAACATTCTTTAACTAAACATGGAGCACTTAGTTTTACAGCTTCAAGGCCAAGCTACACATCTTCATTTCTATCGTGCTTTCATTTCTAATATATTCCAGTGATAGCTGCATAACCACCAAAGAAATGGAACGAAAGTTAAATGCATTGTAAAATAAATGGGAAAAAAATATCATGAATATAAAATAGGATGACTTCAAAAAGCGTGAAGAAATCAGAGAAATGTCTGAACAAATACCCGTACCGATTTCGGATAAAGAATCTGGAGATTTACTGGGCGCAATTTGGGACCAAATGAGCACAAAACAGGCACTCAAATATGAATCGAACGGTCTGAGAAAAAAAGAAGACAGTCGAGGGAAACATTAAGAAGAACATTATGACCAAATGCCAAAAATGCAGGTGTAAACTCCATGTCTGAATGTAAGAAAGTTGCTTGCAATAGAGGGGAGCAGAGAAATCGAATGCCAGCCATATGTGACTCTAGTGGCACACAAACGATTATATATATAAACAATCGTAAACACTGCAATACAAAATATTACCATAATAATGTGATATTACGATACATGCATGAAATATAGTATTAGGACGTGTAATACTGTGATATTATGATACATGCATGAAATATAGTAGTGAGACGTGTAATACTGTGATATTATGATACATGCATGAAATATAGTAGTGAGACGTGTAATACTGTGATATTATGATACATGCATGAAATATAGTAGTGAGACGTGTAATACTGTGATATTATGATACATGCATGAAATATAGTAGTGAGACGTGTAATACTGTGATATTATGATACATGCATGAAATATAGTAGTGAGACGTGTAATACTGTGATATTATGATACATGCATGAAATATAGTAGTGAGACGTGTAATACTGTGGCATTAAAAAAAGCGAATGTAATACTGTGATATTATGATATATGATCATAATACCACTGTGTTACATGCACGATAGCAATATCTGTAGTAATAAAGTAGTGAATGTAAACCTATAAAACGTGTAGGACAAATGATATAAAGATAAAGCTGTTGCACAGCTGACATAACCGTGTCAAACACCTGAACTGACAACAAGATTGACATGACACATGTCAGAACCTCGTCGGGGCTATGTACACTTATAGACAGATGGATGCGTGTGCTGGAGATACACTGTAGCCAACCTTCATTGTGGAGAAGGCACTGGGTTGATTGTCTAATATTTGTATACTAATATGTACTGTTTCAATAGGTGTAGGGGCTAAATGCTCGCCTCCGAATCGGAAGGTCATGGGTTCAAGTCCTGGCGAAACCGGAATTTTTTTTTAAAATGACCCAGTTCGACCAAGGCTTGACTGGGTACCAGGTGAAGTCCTGCGAAATAAAAGCGGTCAATGGGATGTTGACCAGCTCACCTGCCAAGCACCAAGTGACCTAAAAAATGTAGGTCGAGCCCTATATGCCCAATAAGCCCGAAGGCGTAAAAAAGGGTATTTTACCGTTTTGTTACTTTTACTTACTATTTCAATAATTAGCATCCTGTCCCGAATGACGTTGCGGTATTGTTTGCCATACTAGACGTCATAGTGGCCTGGGTCAAACGGTGGCGGAGTTCACAGTTACCGGGAAACGAGGCTGAAGTCGACCTCGGTGATGTGAAACAAGACATAGGAGATGTGAAACAATACATCAGAGATGTGAAACAAGACATTAAATATGTGAAACAAAACTTCGGTGATGTGAAACAAGACATCGGTGATGTGAAACAAGACCTCGGTAATGTGAAACAAAACCTCAGAGATGTGAAACAAGACATTAAAAATGTGAAACAAGACATCGGTGATGTGAAATAAGACATCGGAGATGTGAAACAAGACCTCGGTGATGTGAAACAAAACCTCGGTGATGTGAAACAAGACATCGGTGATGTGAAACAAGACATCGGTGATGTGAAACAAGACCTCGGTGATGTGAAACAAGACATTAGAGATGTGAAACAAGACATCGGAGATGTGAAACAAGACATCGGAGATGTGAAACAAGACATCGAAAATGTGAAACAAGACATTAAAGATGTGAAACAAAACCTCGGAGATGTGAAACAAGACATTAGAGATGTGAAACAAAACTTCGGTGATGTGAAACAAGACATCGGTTATGTGAAACAAGACCTCAGTGATGTGAAACAAGACATTAGAGATGTAAAACAAAACCTCGGTGATGTGAAACAAGACCTCGGTGATGTGAAACAAGACATTAGAGAAGTAAAAAAAGACATCGTAGATGTCAAACAAGACATCGGAGATGTGAAACAAAACATCGGAGGTGTGAAACAAGACCTCGGTGATGTGAAACAAGACATTGGAGATGTGAAACACGACATCAGAGATGTGAAACAAGACATTGGAGATGTGAAACAAGACATTGGAGATGTGAAATAATACATTAGAGATGTAAAACAAGACATTGGAGATGTGAAACAAGACATTGGAGATGTCAAACAAGACATTATAAATGAAAAAAGACATTAGAGATGTGAAAGAAGACATCGGAGATGTGAAACAAGACATCGGAGATGTGAAACAAGACATTAAAGATGTGAAACAAAACCTCAGAGATGTGAAACAAGACATTAAAAATGTGAAAAAAAACCTCGGTGATGTGAAACAAGACATCGGTGATGTGAAACAAGACATTAGAGATGTGAAACAAGAACTCGGTGATGTGAAACAAGACATTAGAGATGTGAAACAAGATATCGGTGATTTGAAACAAGACATTGAAGATGTGAAACAAGACATTGGAGATGTGAAACAAGACATCGGTGATGTGAAACAAGACCTCGGTGATGTGAAACAAGACCTCGTTGATGTGAAACAAAACCTCGGTGATGTGAAACAAGACATTGGAGATGTGAAACAAGACATTGGAGATGTGAAATAAGACATTAGAGATGTAAAACAAGACATTGGAGATGTGAAACAAGACATTGGAGATGTCAAACAAGACATTGGAGATGTGAAATAAGACATTAGAGATGTGAAACAAGACACTGAAGATGTGAAACAAGAACTCGGTGATGTGAAACAAGACATTGGAGATGTGAAATAAGCCATTAGAGATGTGAAACCAGACACTGGAGATGTGAAACAAGAACTCGGTGATGTGAAACAAGACACTGGAGATGTGAAACAAGACATTGGAGATGTGAAATAAGACATTAGAGATGTGAAACAAGACCTCGGAGATGTGAAACAAGACATTAGAGATTTGAAACAAAACCTCGGTGATGTGAAACAAGACCTCGGTGATGTGAAACAAGACATTAGAGATGTGAAACAAGACATCGTAGATGTGAAACAAGACATCCAAGATGTGAAACAAGACATCTGAGGTGTGAAACAAGACCTCAGTGATGTGAAACGAGACATTGGAGATGTGAAACACGACATCAGAGATGTGAAACAAGACATTGGAGATGTGAAACAAGACATTGGAGATGTGAAATAAGACATTAGAGATGTAAAACAAGACATTGGAGATGTGAAACAAGACATTGGAGATGTCAAACAAGACATCGGAGATGTGAAACAAGACATCGGATGTGTGAAACAAGACCTCGGTGATGTGAAACAAGACATTGGAGATGTGAAAGACGACATCAGAGATGTGAAACAAGACATTGGAAATGTGAAACAAGACATTGGAGATGTGAAATAAGACATTAGAGATGTAAAACAAGACATTGGAGATGTGAAACAAGACACTGGAGATGTGAAACAAGGTGAATTGATACATGACAGGTCAGGTGTGGTCAGAGCCCTTTAGAAGGAAAAAAAAAATTAGTATGGCCAGTAGACACCGGGGTGAAACCATAAGGTCTGGCCGGCTCACTACACTTAGAGGAAAAGCAAGACGGACATTAAACCAGATTAGCACCGGTACCATTATTATCGGAAATCTACCCTGGCTGCTAAAGATGAGAACGGAGTACACATGGAATTGCCCCGTGTGCTGTGATGTCAATTCTTGACTGAAAGCAACTTATCTCAACACTTATTTTTTGAGGCAATCAGCAACTTCCGTTGCATTTATATCTCGTTGAATATATTTTTTAAATTACTTCTTTGAAAGGTAATTTAAACCAAAAAAAAAAAAAAAAATATATTTCGCATTTATTTTCCTTGAAATCTCATATCTATAAATGTCTGAGACAATACAATAGTCTGTCTCCCAAATTGGAGTTGGTTCTGCAACGTCCTGTAAAGGATACGCAACTAACCTTATCATTACTCATCAGTGTTCGTCTTAGTTTCCTTTGTGCGTGCTTAACTGTTTACTCAACGTGTGCGGCAACTTAGCAAAACCGAGTCTGAGACTGAATTTATGTGTGCATCTAATGTGCACCAGGTTGTTATGATTTATCTAAAAAATGTCTTATCAATCTACAGGTAGCAGGCTACAGAAGCTAGTCTGAAACATAAACAGTCACGCATGAGCTGAGATAAGAAAGTGACGGCTGGAGTCGGCAGCGTAATAGAGGTACTATATTTGTGTAATTGCCATACATTATCGGTTGAATTCATGCTTGCAATTACAGGATAATCGGCTGCTCTCAAATGTAAACTAGGTCAATAGTATAAACTTGTCTCCTTCATGTAGAGCAGATGTGTTAAGCCATAGCAACAAGAAGAAACAACGTTGCCACAACCTTCAAACATTATGTCTTTTCAATAAACGCTTCCCCTTCTATTCCTCCTGCTTCTTCTTATTATTATTATTAATTTTTTCCTCCGCCTCCTCCCTTCTACTCGCCCTATCCATCCTTCGCCTCCTCCTTCACCTTCTTCTTCATCATCATCATCTTCTTCTTCTTCTACTACTACTACTTCTTCTTCTTCTTTTTCTTCTTCTTCTTCTTCTTCTTCTTCTTCTTCTTCTTCTTCTTCTTCTTCTTCTTCTTCTTCTTCTTCTTCTTCTTCTTCTTCTTCTTCTTTTTCTGCTTCTTATTCTTTTCTTCTATTAGCCAATGTCGTTTGGCACTAGTGATCATATTTATCCACAGCCTTCTGCCAGTCTGATCTCATACCGGTGTATATCCTTGTGATGAAAAGGTAAAGTCGGGAGATGTGAACCAGCGTCATTGCACACGGTCATAAATCAAAAGTGCTCTGCCACAGGTACGGACAGCTGATAAAAAAAACTGTCCACCTCTGTCACCGTCCGCAAGCAACTGTGTAGATACAGCGACGTTCCTCCATTTTATTTCATTTTATTTCCTTGTTATGATGCCAACCTATCAATCTTATTTTCAGTAACTCCCCCCCCTTCTTGCTCTTATCCTCGTGAAACTTCCCGTTGTTTCGACGTACCCTTCTTCTTCTTTCTTCTTTGTGTTCACCAACTGTAACCTCTGGCGGAAAGTTTTGGTTGTTCATCCACTTTTGGACTGCATTCCTGTTCCAGAGCCTAAGTGTTGCGGGTGCATCCGTTTTACATATCTGACTCATTTGTATTCAGACTGCTGGTCACTTGCCTCTCAGGCAGATGCACTCCGACTGTAGTCGACTCTTACGACATGCTTTTAGGTTGCCAGTAGGTCTTTTCTTGTTTTCCCTAAACTAGAGCCCCAGGACCCACACGGCGAACGACGTGCTCTAATTTGGCTCTGATCACGCGGGGCCAAAGTAGCGTGGATCGGCTCTCTTTGATGCAAGTAATGAGCTCGCTCTGTCTCTCTCACATTTTTATCACACTGTTTTCTGTACAAACTGGCACCAGGGGCTTAGCTTTTGTCAGCGCACTTTGTCTATGCCAGGGTTGCGGGTTCGCTCCCAGCTGTGGGCGAGCTGGCAGCAGACTGATTTGCGCTGGTTTCTAAAGTTGCGTCGAGGGTAAACCGTTTAGGGATCAATAGCAAACCACTTAGCGTGAATTTGCCTAGAGAAACCACACAGCACTGCAACGTTCTGTAAAGGATAGATCGGTACTCATAGAAAGAAGTAGATAGAAGAACACACTAGACAACATAAAAATCTATTTTTTTTGTTGTCTAGTGTGTTCTTCTATCCATCTATTTCTTTCTATGAGTGCCGATCAATACACTTTCTGTTACTTGATTAATTCATAATATGTAACGGCCTCAAAGGTTCCCCCTCTGTTTATGTAAAGGACCGGCAACTACCTTTTTTAAGCAAAGATATGTGTTACCACATTAGCTTTAATGACTTGCCTAGAATCTCCCGTGTATGCGCGCGTGTCTATACTAAAGGTATAGGGCTGTGTTAACTGAGTTAAAGTGATCTGCGGTTGACTGTACCATCTTTGCTCGACCAGGTGTTTATACAAGCACACGCCAGGTGCGTCGGTGGGGACCAAGGTAACATTTAGCTGAGAGATAGTTGAACCACCAGAGGAAAATGCTGACCTAAATCTGATGCAGGAGTGTTTTGATTGTGTCGGTTAAAATAAAACTGCTTTTAGCTTTCCATATATTTCCTTACATTTCAAGTGTTGGCACACTATTTGCTTATATAAATATATAATACCAATAAGGTTAGATACGCTAACCCTTTATAAATACAACATTCACGAAGACACACACAGACACACACACACACATACGTATGTATAACATGCACACAGCCACACATACAATATTGACCAGGTTGTGGGGCTGCCCCCCCCCCCAATATGTGCCAGTCGGGAAGGGGCTTAAGTCTTGTTTAACTGCGCAATTATGAGGTAATAGTAATTATCATTATTTTTATTTTATTGCACAATTAAACAGGGCTTTATACACTGGAGACATTCCATCCCTATAAAATCACTGTGATGTGTGCGTATAGTGTGTGTGTGTGTGTGGCGGGGGGGGGGGTGTTTGTTACTGTTGTATTATAAACAAATCTTTAAAACAGAAGATAGTTGAAGGGAGGGGGGGGCTTACTCCCTAAAGAGTATTAGGAAAGGGGGATGAGGCTGGGTGATGGTAGCCTCTAGATGCCTAAACCCCCCCCCCCCCCCCCACCCCACCCCAACCCCCAGAATCAGGTGTGTATATTCAATGTATATTATTACATTTTTTTAACCATTAAAGAGGCTTTTATTGTTAATCATCATCATCAGGTGCCTTGCCGACTGGCGTGGGCGATCATGCCTCTCCATAATCTGCGATCTCCTGCAGCATGTATCAGTTCGTGTGCCGACACACCTCCATGCCATGCAACAAGACTGTCAAGCATCTTCTCTCGTTGTCTTCCTCTATCTCTCCTTCCACATATCTTTCCAGTGGTCACAATATGTTCTATTTTCCCTCTTCTCATAACATGGCCGAAATATGATGACTGGCTCCTTCTGATGTCGGTGATAAGTTGTCTTCGGACTCCCGCCTCTTTCGAAACCTCTTGGTTGCTCTTTTTGGCTGTCCAAGGTATTCTAAGCACTTTTCTGTAAAACTACATCTCCGAGGCCTCCAGAAATTGTTTGGCCTGCCTACCTATTGTCCAGGATTCACAGCTATATGTTAAAACTGGATGTATGTAGCAAGCAAGAATTATTTTTCTTACTCTCAATGACAAGGATGCAGTTTTTGCCTGTCCTATTCTATTTCTTATCTCAGTTATGCATCTTCCATCTGATGTTATCCATGTGCCATCTCAGTTATGCATCTTCCATCTGATGTTATCCATGTGCCCAGATACTTAAATTTCTGTACTTCTGTACTCCTAAAATAACACCATCAACTTTTATTACACACTTAGGAATAATTCGTTTCTTTGATACCACCATTACTTCTGTCTTCCAATTATTCAAACTGAGGCCCATTCTTCCACTTTCTAACACCACAATGTCTATCATTTCCTGTAGTTCTTTCTGACTTGTTGCTATCAAGACTGTGTCATCAGCATAAAGTAAATTGTTTATATTGTGCCCACCAACAACAATTCCGGGCATACCAATTAAAGCTCTCATTATATGTTCACTGTATATTGAAAACAAATCAGGTGACAGTACACATCCTTGTCGTACGCCCCTCTTTATGCTTTGAAATGTACCTAAACATTTGTTAATTCTTATAGCTGCTGTTTGCTGCCAATACATATTCTTTATTATTTGTAGATCTTTCCCATCAATGTTTAATTTTTCTAACAGTCTGATTACTTCTTCGTGCTTCACACAGTCAAATGCTTTTGTATAGTCTATGAAGCATATGTACAAATCAGTCTTTACTTCTATAGCTCTTTCTGACAATGTCCTTAGGATGTATATGGCATTGTTTGTACCTTTTCCTTCTACAAATCCACATTGTTCATCGCTGATTTCTGGTTTAATTTTGTTTCTTATTCTTCTCATAATTATTCTCAGTAAAAGCTTAGTCATGTAACTCATAAGACTTATTGTGCGATGGTCTTCACATTTTATAGTGCCTGGTTTCTTAGGCAGAGCTATACATTATAAATATCATTTAAAAGTTGAGTTATTATTTCAATTCCAAAATCTCCCAGTGCTTCGATTTCTTCCAATGAGATGTTGTCTGGCCCTGGTGCTTTTCCTTTCTTCATATGATGTATTGCATCCTCAACTTCTGCAGTCATTATTGGTGGACCATCATTTTTGGTCTGCAGTTCTACATCTGGTCTACTATCATCATACAATTCCCCTATATACTCTGTCCATCTGCTAATTATATTACTATGTCCCATTAATAAGTCACCATCTTTTGATTTCAAACATCCAGTGCTGTTACGTGTCATCGTTAACATATTTATCTTTTAGTACATGGAATGTGAGTCTTTCCTGTTGTTTTCCCCAATCTCTGTACACATTTAATTCAGCCAGGCTTCTTTAGCCACTTTGCATTTGTTCACTATTTCTTTTTGTATTATTGTTAATATTATTGTTAATATTATAGTTATTATTATTATTATTACGATTGTAAACTTAGAAATAGTACCCCCAGCCCTCACCCCCTCCACTCCCCAAAAAAGAGAATAAACAAATTTTATTACAAGTGCATTTCTGTCAGTGAGTAAAGGGAGCCCTTTAGTCACTAATAAAAAAAGGGGTCCTAATGGAGCAATGATACGCAATACAAGACTCTTAATGTCTATTAGCCTCTCTTGCTCAAGCCTACCTCACCTTCACGTGGTGGACCCTGTTCTTCCCAGCAATCCAGTTGAAGGTTGGGGTCTCAACCCCCAGCGGGAAACTGGATGGGACAACAAACGAGGTAAAGGCGAAAGTCGAATGGATGAGCCTACTCTCCTCGAGTATGATCACAGTCTACCCTAGCAAAACAAGGTGCTGAAGTCGGAGGCAACAAGCCAAGAGGCGCACCACAGCAATCAGGATGCCACGCATACACGCCATGGAAATATGTCTATATCAGCAAAACGTTATGGTGCTCGCCCTGTGATGGACTCTCAGGCAGGAGCAGTGCCGGGCCCTCTGCCTCGAAGAGGCCCAACCCAAATTACTGGAGGTCCTTCTCAAACGTCCTGTGGAGCCAGGGGACGTGAGAATAGAGCATCTGGCCGAACCAAGAAAGGAGTCAAATTAATGCACTGGAATGCAGAGGGGATTACAAATAAAAAGCTAGAGTTAGAAAATATTCTAAATGAGGAACAGATTCATATAGGCTGTCTACAGGAAACCCACCTCACTGAAGACACAGTCTTCAAAATCAGAGGTTATCAGTGCTTCCGATCAGACCGGAAAGGCAGGAAAAAGGGTGGAATATTGACTCTTGTGAGGAACAATATCACTGCGTGCCAGACTGAAGTATATATGGATGGAGCAGAATATCAGATTCTGAAACTACAAACTGGAAATGCAGACTTCTACCTGATCAATTATTACTGCCCAAGTGATCGTCCCCAGGCATTAGACACAATCCCAGTGGAAGAAAAGATGATTCTATGTGGAGACTTTAACAGCCACTCACAAAGCTGGGGATATGACCATATAGACCAGAGAGGAGAGAAACTGGAGGAGTGGCAGGATGAGAACAGATTTGTTCTTATTAATAGGCCAACTGATCCACCCACATTCTACTCGAGGTCGTGGCACACCACTACTACCCCAGACCTAGCATTTCACTCTCCAGATCTGGAATGGAACATTAAACGAGTTGTTGGAAATCAACTGGGAGGCAGTGACGATCGACCGGTCTTCCTGAATGTAGAAAATGAGAAGGTCACAGAAACAAGTAGGCTGCCAAGGTGGAACTACAAGAAGGCTGACTGGACAATGTTCAAGCACCGTACCAGTATACTGCTTGGAAGTCTCAGCGTAGACCAGGATATAAATAAAGTAGTTAAAGAATTTAACAAATGCGTACTAAAGGCAGCAGGAGAATCAATACCAAGAGGTGCCCGTAAGCATTATAAGCCATACTGGAGTAATGAGCTAGAAAATTTACATAACGAAGTAGAAACATCCAGAAAGATAGCAGAGACAAGGCCAAACCAAGAACATCACAATAACTACCAGCATGCAAAAGCAAAATTTGTAAGGGCAAAGCTGCAGGTTAGAAGGAAAAGCTGGCAGGAGAAAACAAGGTCGCTGAACTTTGAAAAAGACACAAGAAAGTTATGGAAGCTTGTGAAACAAATTAATGATGAGGACACAGGGAGGAACTCAAAGATCACGCTGCAGAAAGATGGAAACATGGTCACAGGAAAAGAGGCAGCCAACCTATTTGCGGACACTTTTGCTTTAGATAACGACATTGAAATCAGTTCAGAGAAAAAACACGAAATTCAAGAAAAGACACAATTTAGAAGTCAGAAAGAAATAACATCAGAGGCGCTAGAGGTGCCAATTACACTTAATGAACTGGAGTTGGCCATTTCAAAGCTGAAAATGCGGAAGTCACCAGGAGCAGATGTTATATCAAACGAAATGATCAGAAACTTAGGAAAAGTAGCTAAAACAAAGCTTTTACAGATATTTAATGCTTGCTGGGCAACAGGGAATGTTCCACAGATCTGGAGAGAGGCAATTATGATACCCCCCATAAAGCCTGGGAAAGACAGTTCTAATGCCTCCAACTACAGACCGATCAGCCTCACAAGTTGTCTCTGTAAAACAATGAAGCGCATCACCGACCTCAGACTACAGTGGTACATTGAAAGTGAAAACATCATTACACCACAGCAGGCGGGCTTTAGAAAGTTCTATTCTACGGAAGACCAGACAACATACCTCTCGCAAGAAATAGAGGATGCTTTTCAAGATAAGAAACTGTTACTCGCGGCATGGATAGATTTAAGGAAAGCTTTGGATAAGGTTTGGAAGGAGGGGCTTTTGAAGAAATTGAGAAACTATAAAATAAATGGAAAAATGTACAATTGGATTAAAGCATATCTGCATAACAGAAGAGCCCGGGTACAGGTAGATGGTTTTAAAAGTAAAAAAGTTCTACTGCGACAAGGCGTCCCTCAAGGTGGTGTCCTGTCGCCCACACTTTTCCTTTTATTTATCAACGATCTGGTTGCTGAGATACCAAATGGAATCAAAATGGCAATGTATGCCGACGACTTGGTACTGTGGTGCACCAATGAACATGCAACGATAGCCACAAAAACACTACGGCGGGCTACAAATGCACTTGAGGCATGGGCCAATAGATGGTGTGTCAGCATCAACACAGACAAATGTAGCACCACACTATTCACCCTCTGCCCAAAGCAAAAAGCCGGCATCATCAAAATAAACGAAATACCCCTGAGAGATGATAAAGAACCCACATACCTAGGAGTCACATTTGATGACAGGTTGACATGGAGAAAACATATCAACAAGGCAGCAACCAAAGCCAGGAGGAAGACAGCAATACTAAGAAAACTAAGTGGAACCACATGGGGAGCAGATGGGAAAATACTCAATAAAGTATACAAGCAGAGCATACTTCCACACTTGGAATATGGGTCAACTGCATCTAGTACCACATTAAAGGAGTTGGAGAAAGTGCAAAATCAAGCGCTCAGAGTCATCACAGGAGGGATGAAATCAACCCCCATATTAGAAATGGAGAAAGCTGGGAAAACACAGGCACTGAGAGGACGCAGAGATACAAAGTTGCAAATAAAAGCTGAAAAGTTCCTCAGTATGCCAGATCACCCGATGGAAAATAGATTTAAGAACCTAGCCTTGGGACGGTTAAAAAGAAGCAGCTTTATACACCAAGCAAAAAGAATATGTAGAAGAATACTCCCGACCTTCCAGAAATTGGCTGCCCACTTAAAAGTATTCCGGAACAAACCCCATGGAGAGAAAAAATTTAAACTAACGGTACAAATCCAGACAAATGTAAAAGGGATATTTGACAAGTAAAAGCAAGATAGTGTACAACGCAAAATGGCCACCCTCAGTTATATTGATGAAGAATACCCACAAGAACAATGGGTCAGAGTCTATACAGATGGGTCCGCAGAAAGTGCAGTTAGAAATGGTGGTGCTGGAGTGTACATCGAATTCCCAGATGGTACTAGGGATAAGTCCAGCGTACCAACCGGGAAGTACTGCCATAACTACGATGCAGAAACTCAGGCTATTAGGATAGCTACAGAGAAACTGCTAAATACCAACCTTGGATCACAGTATGTGGTAATGCTTACAGATGCTAAATCAGTACTTGAAGCACTCCAGTCTAGGAAACTACCAGAATTGCAAACACTGCTCACACAACTCAGCGTTCAGCGAAGAGTCGTAATGCAGTGGATACCGTCTTATTGTGGAGTGCCTGGAAATGAGAAAGCTGATCAACTGGCAGGAGAAGGTGCGACAAAAGTGCAGCGACATACCACCAAAAGAAAAGAATCATTAAATCGATCAGGAAACCACCAGACCCAGCACAAGACGACTATTTTATTATGGACAGACCAGAACAAGACATTATCTTCCGCCTCAGAACAGGGCACAACCGATTACGTAACCACATGTACACAAAATTCAAGATAGGTGTATCAGCCATGTGCACCTGTGGAAATGTGCCCCAGACCGCAGAGCATGTACTCCAGGACTGCACCGATTTTGACACATTAAGGCAAACCTTTTGGCCAGAAAGAACAACAGTGGAACGTAAACTCTATGGACCACTGAATGAACTAACAACAACAGTGAAATTTATACAAGAGACAAAACTGCTGATATAGATAACTTATTTCAGGCGAACGAAAGAAGAAGAAGAAGACTAATTAAAAAAAAAAATGTTGGGGGGGGGGGTAGGAGCCAATGGGTTCCGTCTAAGGAACCTGAACTCCCAGACTCAAATACCTATGATATATATAAGGGCGCGCGCGCAAACACACACACACACACACACATATATATATATATATATATATATATATATATATATACACACACATACACACACACACTGCTAAACAACAATATTGAGTTTCCAGATCGCAGAAGGAAGAATAAGTTTTGGTCTGTATGAGTTTTTCTCCCTTCTTTTTCTGCTCCTCTTTCTCTCGTTCCTTTTCGACCTCCTCCCCGCCCCTATCTTTTTTTTTTTTTTTTCAACATCTTTCAATATGAAGGTATTTCCTATCATTCGTTGTCTCTCTTACTATCTCTCTCTATTTATCTCGATGATTTTTTTTCCCTTTCTCTGTTGTTTTTTTAAAACTCACTTTATCTCTCTCTCTCTCTCTCTCTCTCTCTCTCTCTCTCTCTCTCTCTCTGTCTCTCTCTTTCTCTCTCTCTCTCTCTCTCTCTGTGTGTGTGTGTGTGTGTGTGTCTGTGTCTAGAGATTTAATGATGATAGAAAGATAAAACATAGACGGATGAAGTATCAAGATTTTATACAAACAATCTGCAGTATATAGATACCTCATTATTATTCGCTCAAACATGAATGGTCTGAACACGAGAAAACAACTATTGGACTATGTAGTTGTAGGAAAGTACAAGGGGAACCTTTCTTTAACATCAAGAAAACAGAAACAAATTCAATATCTAAGAAAAGAGCAACCCAGACTGGGGTAACAATAATAGAAGGTAAAGAAAACCTAACCTAGTCAATATACTGAGACACCTGGGGGCAACCATAACAGCTGTTTGGAGAAGCGTGACCGAGATTAAGAGCAGGATAGGCGAAGCAAAAGCTCTGTTCAGAAGATAAAACATATCTTCATTGAATGTCGGAAAGAGCACATTGAAATGTTAGGTCAAACTTGCTCTGTCATATCACAGTGAATCTTTGCTGTGTCAAATAACAAATTAGGAAAATATCTGAGGCCGCAGAGATGTGGTTTCTGAGACAAATATTGAGAAAGGATTGGATTACCAACCGATGTAACAAGGCTTGCCTGTTTGAGACTAATGAAAGTATAAATGCATGCGCAACTTTAAACAAAAGACACAATTCTTTGATCATAAACAGAAAAAAATTCATCGGAAAACTTTGTAACCACTGGAGACAAAATCAGAGGTAGAAGAAGCAGAAACAGACCCGGGCCGTCTTAACGGCATTATGGGCGCTGGGGCAAACTAGTGCTCTGAGCCCTTTAGGACAACCACTCATAGGAATGAAATGTAAAGGTCGATATTATTGAACATATATTTATTCTATTGGCACTTCATCAAAACTGGTGTTAAAGTCTTAACATAGATTAGATGGCACAGTAGGAAATTACTACAAACTTCTTATTATAACAATTATTTGTGGCGTTTTTTCTTCTTCACATAATTGCTTTATTGTTGGCCCGAAGTCAAAGGTCTTCAGGGTGTGATTTTCCATTAATGCAAGTGAATTGCTTACCATCATGCATGTGACCTGGTTACCATCATATATGTGACTTAGTTACCACGATGCATATGACTTGGTTGCCACCAAGCATGTGACTTAGTTACCACCATGTATGTGACTTGGTTACCATCATGTATGTGTCTTTGTTGCCACCAAGTATGTGACTTAGTTACCATCATGTATGTGACTTAGTTACCATCATGTATGTGACTTAGTTACCATCATACATGTGAACACTGTGAGTGCAGTTTCAAAATTCGGGAAGACAGATTTCAAATAGCCCAAAATTATTTTTCTGCACAGTGCATGGAGAGTCTCACAATTTTCATTAAGAGCCATGTAGTGCTTGAGATACTACGATTTATTTAAAGATTCATCATAATTCAGGTCTTTGTGAAACATACTAGCCAGATGTTGATATTTGTTCTTTGTGTATCAGAAGAAATAGTCAGCAATTCACTAAAGAAATAAAAACAGATGTCCAGTCTGTGAATAAGCCTCTGCACATTTTGTCGGTTCAAAAATTAGTCTCCACAAATGGGAGCAAAGTTTCCACCTTGAACTTTCCGGTTTTGCTGAGAAGTACCTCTTCTGACAGTTCTGCTGATCCATCAGGTCTTATAAGACCAAGACATTGTTGTCATTTCCGTCTTTCCCCCCTCCTGGCTTTGACATCATATTCACTAAACTCGTCCCTAGTTTTCTAGAGACAGGTTTTCAAAGACTCGACAATCAGGTAATTGCAATTTTAACTTTATAACAAAGGAGTCACCTTATAATAGCTCCGTTCTTGTGACTACGACAACCACACAGAATTTCATCACTGTCCCTTATCCGCGGCTCATAGTGTCGCGCCATGCACTCAACTTAGCTGCTGCGCAACGACACTAGACTCAGAAGATTCGTGGCAACAAGGATGATAGGGAATTTAGAGCAGGTTTTATTGTCTCGAAACCCCCATACAGAGCACACACAGTATCAAAATATACTGTCGTGTATCAGGCTGACCCTTGACCACAAAGATGATGATGTCAGAACATTCCACCGATCAGTAGAACTAGCGAAACAGTAAAGACAGATGCTGAACACAGTCAACGGCATGAACAGACTGTAGACAACCCTCTGCTGCCTTTACTGCCACCAAGTGTTCAGGCTGTGGCCAGCACTGAGAACAAATACGACTTCCCGCTTGCAGTCCAATATATTGTCCAGACATATTTGAGGTATTATATATATATATATATATGACTCATGAAGTTTGATACTGGAGTTTTGTTCTCGCTGAAAAAATCCACAACAGTGTTCTGTTGGATTCTTTGCTCCATGAGAAAAGATAGCGATGAGCATCAAGAAACATTTCATATTTCCTTATTTTAGAGAGAGAGAGAGAGAGAGAGAGAGAGAGAGAGAGAGAGAGAGAGAGAGAGAGAGAGAGAGAGAGAGAGAGAGAGAGAAAGAGAGAGAGAGAAAGAGAAAGAGATTGAGTTATTTCGGTTTTCCTTTACTTTGTGGTGTTTTGTATAACATGAAATTAATGTAAACGTCAAACAGACTTTTAATTCAGTGAGTTAGTCGATAGATTATCCTCATTGCACATCAAACCATTCTGTCCATTAGCGTTCGAATCCCCGCCCCAGTAAATCCCGGAGCAGAAAGCGGCTTACGACACCAGTTGAGTGTTGGTTTCTTATTTTTCTTTGGCTTCCTGCATAGTGCCCTTGTCTGGCCATACCCTTTTAACATGTTTTTCTTGCAGTCTGGTCATTGTTGCAGAATCACAGTCATCACTTGGTTCTCGCCAAGATCTTATTTCTTGTAGTTCATTTAAAATATCAGCATGGTCTCGTCCACCCTCCACAGTAGCTTTACCTGCAAGCCGATCAGCATGCTCATTTCCTTGCACGCCTGCGTATCCTGGCACAAATATGAAACTAATAATTGTCAGCCCAGACCGCTTTAGAGACGTCACACAATGCCTTCAGGTCCAGCCTTTCTCTATCTTGTTAGGCATACTCAATGAGTCAGTCAGAAAGCATGCTCGGGAAAAGGGCTGTCTCCAGCCATGTTAGTGCTTTGGTCACTGATATGACCTCCATAGTCAGACTACTTGTGGTCAGTGCAACAGCACCAGAATCTTGCTTCACAATTCTAACTCCAGCCTGCGCCGTAAAAGCCCAAGAGCTTCTCACATGGTCAATTACTGACCCATATGTGTAAATTGTAGCATCACCCTGTAGAGAATTCTCGAAAATCAAAGCCCGCACTTTTGACTTAACAGCGACAAGAGATTTTTCTATTTATGGCAAGTCACTCGTATACACCCCATGTGGGTTACGGGGTCCCATGGTGGGGGAAAGCAAGAACAGACCTACTGCCTCACCAACAAGCATGTCGTAAGAGTCGACTAACTGGGGCTTCCTTCAAAGTCGGAGTGAATCTGCCTGAGAGGCAAGGTACCAACAGTCTACATACAAATTAGCAGGTTCTGTATAATAGATGCACACGCAAAATTCAGGTCCTGGAACAAAGCCAAAGTCTCGAAATGGACGAACAACCAGGTCTTTTCATGGGGTTT